TGTCCGAGTGTGAGCGCCGAAACCCCTAAAGCCATGAACCCTAAATCCCAGACACCCGCAAGCCTTACACACCCAAGCCCGAAACCCCTGAACCCCTAACACCAAACCTGGCTTAGTCCTTCACCACAAAGCCACCTGTTGCATCGCAAATGCATTATGTTCGGTCCAGCTATCCTTGTTCCAAGCTAAGGTTCCCCGGGCAAGCCGAAGCCAAGGGCAAGCAGGAGGCAAAGCCGAAAGCCAAAACCAAGGCTGCTCCGAAGGCCAAAACGGCTGGCAAGAGAGGCTCGCAGGACCCAGATGAGGAGGAGGAGAAGCCGGCTAAAAAAACTAAGAAGTAGATGCTTAAAGCATAGGCCACCAGCTCGGCATGCAGTGACATGTGATAATGCTTCAGCTTGCAAAGAGTAGTTGGACAGAACTGCTGAGCTGTTTTGCTTGCTGGCAGCAGTGGCTTGGAATAGCTGCTGGACCGGCCGACAGCTTCCGGAGTGGAGCCCAAAAGATTGCACCTTGCTTGAAGCCTAAGAGCCCAGAACCCTAGACCCAGAACCCCAGCCGACCCAGAAAGCTACGCCGAAAAATCCAAACCCAAACCTCTAATACTCATTGTACGAGTCCACCCAAAGTCAAAGCTCAGAGCCCTAAAGCCGAAACCCCAGCCGACCCGGAAAACTACGCCAACGAATCCAAGCCCAAAGCTCGAATATCTAGGGTACGAGCCCCGCAAAAGTCAAAGCTCACAACCCTAAACCCCAAACCCCAGCCGACCCTGAAGAGTACGCCGAAGAATCCAAGCCCAAACCTCGAATATCTAGTGTACGAGCCCCGCAAGAAGTCAAAGCTCACAACCCTAAACCCTAAACCCCACCCGACCCTGAAGAGTACGCCAAAGAATCCAAAGTCGAAGCTCCGAATAATCTAGTGTGCGAGCCACCCAAAGTCTGACAGCTAGAAGCCCCTGGCAGTGTGTAGTATCCCTCTGCATGTAAGAACAGCATCGATACTTATCCCCTCCGCTCAAGCCAAGCCAGGAATCTTTATTCCCGAACAGAAATCTTAATCCTTCTCACGCCAGGTTCCTCGGAGGAAGACACGTTCGGGCGAGTCGCACAGTATGCTGAAATGCTCGGGGATGGAGTCGGGGTCCTCGGAAGGTGGTTTGGGGGTACAGGTTTTAGGAAAGTCTTACTTCTTAGTACAGGCTATTTGCACTTATTGGAGTCTTTCAAGCTTCGCTTATCCTGAAGATGATGGTTGAAAGGTTAGGCTTGGGTGCTCTACGCCCAATCACAGGCATGTCAATACCAATCAAGACGACAGGCCTTCAAGTCCCAAAACCTAAGTCCTAAAACCCTAGGGGAATGAAACCTAAGTCCGAAGAAGAACCCCCGAGGCCTAAAGACAACGATTTCTCCAAGGATGTTTCTAGATCTTGTTCTCCATTCAGCCAAAGACAACAAGCCCGAACTTTTCAGAAGCAAGCACCATAAGATTCCTTTTTGTATGCATATAATATTACAGCCTGGACGATAGACTTTCAGGTCCAAAACCCCAAGCCCTAAACTCCTAAACCCTAGGGGAATGAAACCCGTGCCCAAAGCCTCAATACGAAAAAGCCATGAGGCCTAGAGTCAATGATTTCTCCAATGATATATACTTCTACACCTTATTCTCCATTCAGTATTCTGTGAAAGACAAGAAGCCCGAACTTCGATAAGCAAGCACCATTACCTCCCCAAACCCACGCCTCTGCCCAAACCTTATTCCCGCAAACCAGAACACCTAAATCCTCAGCCATCTGGTCCTTGCTTTCCAAAGAGCTTGTGTTGGTGTGTGTGTGTGTGTGGATTGGGTACTGCCTCCTTCAGTAGCAGTAGAATTATGTATATAATACATATATTATGTAATAATATTAATCTATAGTTAGCATCTTCATGGTAGCCCTACTATGGACTGTTACTGTATGGGGGCAGTACCTAATCTGCTGAGCCCGGGGCCTAAACTGCTAGGAAGCCTTTTGAGGTTTCAGGATCCCGAGCCCAAAGCAAGCCGCACCTAAGGAACCGAGCCTCCTTCGAGTCTTAAAGGCAGCCCAAATGCTTTTGAAAACCCGAACTGTTGTTTCAACCCTTGCTTGGCCTATGTCCGATTCGACAAGCAAGTCTCCATATCTAAACCTCCAAACCCAAATCGTTAAGAATCTAGGGCTTCGTGCCAGACCCAAGTCTTTAAGATTGTAGGGTGTAGGGCCAGACTCAAGGTTTTAAAGGAAACCCGGTATGATAACAAACCCTAAGTACTAAGCCCGCACGAGCAGAGCCACGAATCCTACTTGTAAAGCGAGTCGTCACCGAAAGCTAGTTCGCCGAGGCCACTGCCAAGGACACCAAGCGGATGGTGCGACAGCTGCAGAATCCGGGCGAGTCGGAGGCAAAAAGGCGAGAGGCACCGAACGAGGAGAGAGATTGCCACAGGCTTTTTAAACACTGGGGTTTATCTTTGCCGGTGCCTGTATCCGAAAAGACCTTCGCACTGGACGACAACGAGACAGCTGATACTGCATACATACGAGTGCAAGACTGGCTGCAGTATCTCTTGAAACGAAATCGTTCATTGCTCGCTGGGGGCAACGAGTCTTTGGAGTTCCAGCTGGAGGCCTACTGGATGGCTTACAGACAGACTCACAGCACCCATCCGGTGTTCGAGCGAGGGCTGGACCTCGGAACCACGATTCCGTTGGCTTTTTACTCAGATGAAGGCAAGGGCCCGAAGCGAGGCAACTTCGTGGTGGCCTCCATCGAATCGCCGATAGGTTTATGGGACGTAGCCGAGGACTTTACTTGCACTTGCAAAGAAGATGTGCGGAAGGCTCCGCAGCAGTTTGTTCCGGGCCAGCAAGCAGACGGCCCGTACTCGCCGATGGAGGAGGCCGCCCTGAAGCAAAGCCATACAAATAAAGGTCACTCCTACCTGACCAGACATGTGCTTTTCGGCCTCCCAGACTGGGTCTACAAACACCATCCAGCGGTTTTGGAACAGTTGACCCAGCAGGTCGCTGACGAGCTCACCAAGCTTTTTTCTTCGGGCCTGGAGGTTGGTGGCAAGGTTTACACGGCCTGCCTTGTTGGGATCAAGGGCGATATGAAACAAATCGCTGAAAAAATAGCTTATCTCAACAGATACTATGCTCGCTTGGGCCCTGTGAACTACAACGGTGTCTGTGCACACTGCATGGCGGGTACGAGTGCGGCTATTCCTTTTGATGAGCTGGCTCACGAGCCATCCTGGGCTTCGACACTTTTCCAGCAGCGACCTTGGGACTCGACACCTGCTATGTGCACTGTCCCTCACGACAGCGATGCACCGGAAAGAGTTCTGAAATATGACATGTTCCATCTTTTCAAAGTTGGGCTTGGGCGAGATATTTGTGGCTCCCTGGTTTTGTTGGCTCGCCTTGGATATTACGATGATCCGAGTGGCAGCGATGATACAAATATCAAGTCGAGGCTCAACCGCTGCTTCTCCCACTTCAAACTATGGCGACTGGCATCCCACAAGACCGCAGCTTTGCGATACTTTTCGAAGTCGTTGTTCAATCTGAAACGGTTGAGCGACTTCGCTTGGACGAACTCCAAGGGTTCGGATACCATGCTCTTGTTGGAATATCTCAGCTTCTATGTGACGATCTTGCTGAGAAAACCCAACTTGCCTGCCGCACATGTTGTTTTGTTTCGTGTGCTGAAGAAGACGATCCTGGAGTCGCAGAAGGCCTTCACTTTGATGTACAAACATGGTTTGTGGCTGAGGAGGGCATGTGCCCAAAATCTCTATTTGAGGTTGATGTCCGTACTGTCGGGCTACCAGCATCTGGCTGCACATGCGGTGACGATGCAGATGTCTTTCTTTGCCTTGAAACCCAAATTCCACGGCATCCACCATGTGGCATATGAGATCCGACAAGCATTGCTGACCAATGCAAAGCTCATCCCGAACCCCATCATGTGGGGGTGTGAGCAAGGAGAGGACCTTATCGGTCGAGTCTGTTCCCTATCGACCAAAGTTGCTGTGAAAACAATCAGCAAACGGGTCCTGCAGAGACACTTCCTGAAGAAAGCTGCTCTTATTAGGAGGCACCGACAGAGCCGGTCCAAGCAGAATCTGCGGCTCTGACGTGTTCCACGGGCTCTGGCTCTACGTATACCAGTCCCTAAATATAGTATAACCTAATCAGGTTTAGGGTGTAAGTCCAGGAAACCCAAGGAGCACCAGGGCTGCAGAGCAGACTCCAGCAGCTCGGCGACGATGGCCGGCGAAAGATGAGGGTTGGAGTGCCGGGGTGTGGGGGTTTAGAGGTGCTTGAGGTTCAGGGCTACAACGGTCCTTGAAGGAAGCCCCTGCAAAGATGGGTGGAGTGGTTCTGGGAGGCTTAAGGGTGCTTAGGGTTTAGGGCTTCAGTATTGTTCCAAGGTTCTACAACTTAATCAAAGACATCGTATGCCAAACATCTGAGCCACTATGCCTTCAGGACTTTTCAGTCGTAGATTCTGAATCAAAAAACCTCGCCTTATCCTCGAGTTCCCAAATCCTCGTCTGTATGAGACCTGCCCTAACCACGAACATCGCCAAGCCTCAACCCCAAATCTGGTTAGGGCTTCAGGGCTTCAGGGTTTCAGGGTTTCGGTCGGGCTTCATGCTGCTCTTGTTTCGTGTGTAAGGTAGTCTTGTCATAGCATCATAAGTGTAATGTCCTTGGCGGCGTTTTTGTTTTTTTGTCTGCGTTTCTGTTTATTGTCGGCGTTTCTGGGAACTGGCGGCGAGAATAATTGCCGTTATCGTTGGCGGCGAAAATAAACGCCGAAGGATTGTCTAGGTATATATATATATATACATACAAACACATACACAAACTACATGCCCTAAACCTGCCGGATCCAAGAAAACTTTACTAGAAAAGCACTAAGCCCCAATCCCTGACACCTCAGCAATAGCCCGGGAACGTGTCTGGGAAGCAGTACTGCAGCCTCAGCATAGTCTCCCGCAGGTGAGGCTTGGATGTTTGAGAGAGGTCCTGAGTTTCTGTTCGGAAGGAACAAGCAACACCGTTCTCTGCAGGCACACGTCGTCGAAAAGTTTAGGTAAGCCAGGACGCATGACAAGAGGTGAACACGGATCCCGAAATGAAGCTCAGACCCTGAATGCAGTGCTTAAGGACTCATGTACAAAGCCTCCAGACACCTCTTAAGTAGAAGAATCAAAGAACTCGTACTCTTACACATAAGTTGCTGCACTCCGATACGAAGTGTCGATATCGACAGTGCCCAAGTTGTTTTGTAATCAGGGCTCTCTCTGTCTCTCTCTATACATTATATATATATATATACACTCTCTCTCTGTCTATCTATATATATATATATATACATACGTACATATGCTCGGTCTCTCTCTCTCTCTCTATATATATATATATATATATATACAAACCTATACCTATATAAGAATCAAGACAATTAACATGTCCCCAGATCAATGTCAACACCTCGTATACGACCACCCCCTTAGAAACAAACACAGCCGCGGCCAAAGATCCGGAAGAGCCGAAGCCGCCAGGACTGCTCCTTACGGGCCCAGTACTAGGGAACCCTATAAGCCCTAAGCCCGATAGTGTCCGTTTAGAGGAATCCTAAACTCTAAGCCCTAAACCCTGTAGTATCCTTTTCAAGGAACCCTAAACTCTGAGCCCTTAGGGTTTAGGGTCCAGGAATCCTTAAGAGGGATCTTTAAAGGGCTGTTGAAGGGGATCGATAAGGCCACAAGGGGATCTATAAGGGACGTATGGTCCAGTAATATGGGGGTTTAGGGTCCCTTGAAAAGGATACTATAGGGTTTAGGGTTCCTTTTTAAAGGATATTATAGAGTTTAGGGTCTGGGGTTCCTTTGGATGCTATAGGGTTTAGGGCTTAGGGTTCCTTTAAACGGAATACTAGGTTTAGGGTTTAGCGCTCCTTTAAAAGAGACTATAAGGGCAACTAAATAATTGTAAGGAAATAGTATAGGGGCCAGAGATCCCTATCCTAGTACATCCGAATCACAAGCCCTAAGCCCTGAAAGAGGCTGCCTCTACTACTAAGAAATCCAAGGACATCAGAATCAAAAGCCCTAAAAAGTGGCCCGAAAAAGCCCCAACGGAGCCGTAAGAAGACGAATAATCCTAAACCCTTATAAACCTTAAACCCCACACACTAAGCCCTGCGCACTAAAATGGAGCCCTAAAAACCCTAAGGGTCCATGTACTCATATAGTATATACATTGGCCTTAAAGTACTCCCTATATAGGTACATTGGGCCCAAAGTATATGCTATATGGGTACATGGACCCTTAAGGAAAAGAGGAGCTACCTCTGCTCCAGAGGCTCTCAGGGATTTCACCAGAAATCCGAGCTTCGAGGATCCGAAGACAGGTCGAAGCATTGCGGAGCCACGGCTGGAAGCTAAGGTTTAGGGCAAGTTTAGGGTTTAGGGTTAAGGGTTTAGGGTGGAAGTTTGGGGGTTGGGTCTTAGGGTTTAGTGTCTTAGAAGGTTTGAGGGTCTACCTATAGTCTCCGTTGTAGTTCCTTTTTTTGGTTAAACACAACCTCTATTATAGAATCCTAGCCATAAAACTGGTTAACCAAAAAAGGGAACTACAATGGAGACTATAGGTAGGGCTTAAGTTACAGGATCGAGGGCTCAGGGTCTTAGGGCTTACGGTAATTCTAGGCTTCGGGCTGACACTTTCGGGCTGAGGGTGCGGGATGAAGTTCCGACAGTCTACTGCGTATCGCATTAAAACATTCTTTTTATATATTCTTATTATGGTTCGAAGGAGGGATAGATAAGGGCTCTATATGGGTCTTATAAGGGCTTAGGGTTACGGTTTCGAGCTTCGGGTTTAGGGATCGGGTTTGGATGTAACCCAGGTACCATTAATCATCGCCCTTGATACCTCTACATAGCTATGGTGAGCCCAAACACACTTCTTTACACCTCTTTGAAGGGGGGTGTGCAAGCATTGAACCCTGAACCGCAAACCCAAAACCCCAGACCCGAAACCCTCAACCCCAAAACCCTACACTCCCTCCAGGTCTTGACGATTCCTCAAACCCTTCTTATGGATCAGACTTCCATGCTTGCTAGTAACAGGGTCCTATGGGTTCCGTTAAAGTAAAGGGTTCCTTTGAAGCTTATTTACTGGTTGCTCTACGGCTTTTTCATTAGAAGGTAGAATAGTTTGGGGGGATATTCTAGTCATGAACAGCCCCAGGGACGAGTATTTTTCTTGTTTCATGTGTATTCAGGCGGCTATACTAACACCCTGAATTCAATGCGTGCTGACAACGCTGGAGCCGCAGAAGCATGTCCGTCGGAGTGGAGAAAGATGCAACGCATACCCTCTATCACATTCTACATGTAGCTATACTACATCGAGTTACGTTAAGTTGTATGTATGATATACAACATACTGCAATCCTGTATGTAGTTCTGCTCCAGACTCCTGATAACACGAAAAAACAGAGAAAGAGAAGGGGTGCAGCACTCCATAACTCATTGCTTCAGGTGTAGAAGTCAGAACCCATACAGGTTTAGAGTGTAGGGTTTAGGGTTTAGGGTTCAAGGTCGGAGGCGCCCGCATCAGGATGAAGAGTTGATATTTGCGATTTGGGCTTATGAGTAGCCCTCTTGGTTCTTGCTAAGGAACTGGTTTTCAGCTAAGCTGCCATCATAGAGATCAACAGTTTACTAAGGAACTGATTTTCAATTAAGCTGCCATCATAGACATCAACAAAAAAGCTGTGCTTTCCTTCATATGGCAGAATGATGCATGCCATAGCCGGAGCCGAGCCCCTCTAGGCATTGTGCATGGAAGAAGCACACCCGAGCCAGATGGCGGCTTGCTGCGAAACCCTCTGGATAAATGTATTTAGGGTCGCAGGGTTGCGGTATGTGAGTACTTCAAGGCCCATGTATACACAATATCCCAACATACTGTGTCGCCACAAGAACTGAACCCTTCGGGAAACTAAAATCGAACTCTAACCCCAAACCCTGGGTCACTGATAGGGCCCAGCATCACCCTAAGGGTCCATGTACCCATAGCATATACTTGGGGCCCAACGTACCTTTATAGGGAGTACTATAAGGCCAATGTATATACTATATGAGCACATGGACACTTAGGGTTTCTGATCTGTAGAAGGGAGACATGCGAGGTGGTTTGTGGAGGAGGGCTTCCATAGTGTAGTATAGGCTCGGGGCCTCAATAACTAGAATAGGGATCCCTTTAAAAGGGGTCTATAAAGGTTACAATAAGGGATCTGAAAAGGTACTATAATATAGGGGCCTCGATAAATAGAATAGGATTTTGCGGTATATCATACTATAAGTATAAGATTAACAAGGAAACCCCAAACTAGTATAGGCAATTGTTAAGGCACCTGTTTTAGCTACTCTGTGGCATTGATGTCTCATGATGTCGATTTCTGAAACCCCAAACTCAGCCCTAAAACCCTTGAAACACCAACCCTGCCGCAAGCTCGGATCACTTCGGAAGCTCCTGGTCCTGAAGCCTAAAACCCGGTCCTGTGCGACGCTGCTGCCATGCGCCTCGAGCACCAAGGGCAGACCTGGTAACTCTGTTTAAAGGGTTGCGGGTTTACGGTTCGGGTTAGGCTTTAGGGTTTAGGGATTTAGGGTTTAGGGTTTAGGGGGTTTCTACAAGGGGTGTGTGGCCTTAGGGTAAGGTCACTTAAGGGTTTATGGGTTTAGGGTGTAGGCACTCACGTCTCTGTGGGTTTAGGGGTTCTGGGTGTCGATTTTTGGGTATTCCAGAAGAGGAGCTTATAACCTTTGCTCAAGAACCCCAGAGTCTGCTTAGGGTTTAAGCTTCTGCTTGGGGATGTATATATATATATATATATATATATATATACATATATATATAGAGAGAGAGAGAGAGAGAGAGAGAGAGAGAGATTATAACCCCCAAACTCAAGATTGGAACTATCGAACACTCGCGCTCTGAACTTGCGAGATTTGGGAGGGTTCTGCCAGCTGTGCAATACCTAAGAAATCCTGGGTCTGCCTTTTACGCTGCATCCATCAAGTGACCTTAGGTCTCGATGCGCTCGTGCCAGTGTGACCGGCGAGGGAACTCGCAATCACGACATGCTGCATGTTCGGAGTGTGGGCTATCTGCGGGAGGGAAAGCCGCAAAGGAGACATATTAAACCGTAGGCAAATGACTGTCATAATTAAAGACATGGGCAATCCAGAAGCTACTGTCGATGCAGCCTGTCATATCGATGCCTCTTTGGCCACTTCTGTTTCCCTGCATGTAGAGAGACCTTGCAAACATGCAAGGTCCGCTACGCCTTGTTTCAGCGCAGCAAAAAGAAGCTCGATGCGATGGGCTCGTCGGATGGGAACCATCCTATACAGCCCACGCTTATGTTAGAAACAAAGCACCAAGTGCCTCGCTGCAAGCGACGCAGAACAAATTTCAAAATGCTCACTGCCGCAATTTCAAAGACTGGGACAAGAGAGATTCGACACCATGCTGCTGGTAGCATTTACGGTTCGGCCTCAAGACTGTAGGAGTCATACTGCAGGTAGTAGTGGTGGTAATAGTAGTAGCAGCTGGAGTAGTAGTAGTAGCAGTAGTAGTAGTAGTAGCAGGAGTAGTAGTAGTTGTTGTAGGAGTAGTAGTAGTAGTAGTAGTAGTAGTAGTAGTAGTAGTAGTAGTAGTAGTTTAGTAGTAGTAGTAGTAGTAGTAGTAGTAGTAGTAGTAGTAGTAGTAGTAGTAGTTTAGTAGTAGTAGTAGTAGTAGTAGTAGTAGTAGTAGTAGTAGTAGTAGTAGTAGTAGTAGTAGTAGTAGTAGTAGTAGTAGTAGTAGTAGTAGTAGTAGTAGTAGTAGTAGTAGTAGTAGTAGTAGTGGTTGTGGTAGTAGTAGTAGTAGTAGTAGTAGTAGTAGTAGTAGTAGTAGTAGTAGTGGTA